CAAGAGGATACGATTTACTAATTGCTCCGACCGGACAACAAGCTAGGGTGCCCTGAGGCCGGCCCCTGAAATTAAACCCTAAACCCTAAACCCCTAAAGCCTAAATCCCTTAATTAACACCCCTAAACCCCTCAATTCCTCAACTACCTAACCCCCTCAACCCCTAAACCCTAAACCCCTAAACCTCTAAACCCTGTAGGGCCATGTCTGGGTTCCTAAGTTTCTCAGTCGCCCCCTTGACAATGATGGTGCCGTTTTTTCTAATATTCAGTTTTAATTAGGCGACCTGAGACTAAAATCGGCAAAAGGGTACTACTCATCTAGATCCAAAAAATCCTAAAACACTCTACACCTGCGTCCCGAGATGCTCTGTGTAAATCTCACAGAGGCTACATGTACCTGTATAGTATATGGACCCGGCAAAACTGCATCGTAATCCTTTGGCAATCCCTAAAAAGTTCAATAGACAACCCTTATCAACAAAAACAGGCATAAAAGGGCTCTGCAAGAGACAGTATTTCTACTAAACACGGCAAAACCCCATAAATCCCTTAGTGCCTTGTTATCAAACGAACCCGTGAAAGCCTTAAAGCTCCTACAAGCGGTTGACTAAGGTGAGGCTCGCGACATGACGGGCCACGAGGATTTCGGGGAGCAAATCCGAGCTCTTTACATAGCAAGGCTCTCTGCACAGCATAGGTAGAAGCCCCTTACAGGTAGGTAGTTCCTCTTCCATAGTACTCCCATAAGACCCCTTTTACCTTATAGGAGTGGCATGGGAGGCTTATGGGAAACTACCCACCTAATGACTACCCACCTGTAAATGGCTTAGAAATAGGCAAGCCCTCGGGTCTCCACACGGTGAAACTGTGGGTTGAGGAGTCGTGGGCTCATGGGCAATTCGGGTTAGGGTTTAGCGTGGGCTAGGTTCAGGAGTTGTGGGCTCAGGGAACTCGGGGCGCTAATTGCATAGTGTCGAAGGACTTAGTGCCTAAGGATAATAGACGTCTTACGGATCGGCATTTAGGGCTTCTAGTCTCTTCGGTTGTCAAACCCTCGCAGTCACACCCGCCGCACAACTACCCTTTGGGAAACCTGGAACCCTCAAACTTCTAGTTAGCGCGGGGAACTGAAGGTGAAGCTTTGGGATTATGTGGGGAATATAACTTGGATCACCCTAAACCCTAAATCCCGAAACCCCTTTTTTTCCCAACTGCAGAATGTCTATAACCCTATATTCCTATAATTCCACAGATCGAAGTCGAAACCATAAACCCCAAGCCCTAAAGCCTTGTATAACCAAGTACATATGGGAGTTTCCGAAAATTAGGGGTGCCTTCTTTGGGGGGCGGGGGGTCCTTATAACAAGGAGGCTGTAAGGGCTCTATGGTGGGGTCCCTCATTTTCGGAAACTCCCATTTAATTTGGCCATCAAAGACTTGAAAATTGGGGTTCTTGAGTTTCGTAACTGGGACCATGACCCTAAAATCCTAACGGTCGGCTGACGCTACACCTATAGTCTCCATTGTAGCTCCTTTTGGGGGTTACCTTATAGGACCCTAAACCCTGAACCCCTAAACCCTAAACCCCTAAACCCTGAACCCTAAACAGTCCTCGCCATGCAGAGGTTGCTGTCGATCGCTTTCGGGGTGAAGCGCCGCCATTCTTCCTCGGGGTTTAAGGGTTCAGGGTTTAGGGGCAATTCTGGATGGAAGGCAAGGCTCTCGGCCATTTGGGGTCCGTGTGAATGTTTCATGCAAGAGGGTTCTGTGAAGTTCTAGAACGCTTTAGGGTTATGAAAAGGAGCAATCCGGAGTGCTCCACCCTAAACCCTAAACCTTAAACCCTGAACCCCCAACCCCCTACCTTAACCGCGAATAACCTACCTTTTAAGGACTTACGTAAAGAAATTCAGGAGCTCTAAAAAAGCAGGTTTCTTACGGTGCAGGTATACCCTGCAGGTTTTAAGGTGACCGGGCTCAGAGTTGAGGGCTCAGGCTTTCGGGCTTGCAGACTTAGGATGATTGAAAGCTCTGGGCTTTCAGTGTTTCGTAAGGGTAGCTGAGTTTTTGCTGTTTTTTTGTTGAGCTCTTTTTTCCCAAGAGGCTGCAGTCTGAGAGTGTTTAGGTTTAGGGTTTATTGGGTTCAGTGTCCAGGATCTGAATTTACGGTTCTTGCGGTGTAGAGCTTACGGTCAAGACTGACGGCCTGAATGCTGGAACCCCCTCAACTGAAAGGAGGGCGCATACGGTTTAAGATCCCGAACTCGAAACCCTGAAAGCACTCAACTATTTCAATATAGGGTGACGTGCATTAAAGTACGCCTTTTTGAAACAAGGGACCCCAGAAAATAATGTTGTTAGCTATTTAGGCTTCTAGGCCACCGGCTTAGGGTGAAGCCTGGAATTCAAGCCTAAACCCCAGACCACCATCATAGAACCCAAAAAACATCTAAAACCTCCAAAGCGATGAACCCCTATAGACAACTCATGAGACCCCCATCAAACCCTAAACAATAAAACACGATGGGGGGCGTTCGTAATTGGATTCGGATTCTGGGGAACGTTGTACTACAGTAATTATAGAAGGTACGAAGGCACGAACACCGAACACTCTTGCTACGTGTTTTAAACCTCATGAAATACTCTAAACCCCCCCTACTTTGCAGGTCCCTTGCAGATCCGAACCCTATTGCGAATGCTCCGGTCCCTTTCTGACTAGGGAAAGCATCAGAATCGACCGGCCCGGCTTCTTTCTCTGCCTCTACCATGGCTGAAGGACTGCAGGGTTTCTGAACCCTACGGACGCGGTCACTGGACCTACTTGATTCGGATACTATCGTGCGTCTTTGTCTCTGTTGCTGCCGGGGGGGGTTGGGGAGGGGCTGGGTTTGTGGATTTTGGGGCTCATGACCTAGCTCAGACACTGTAGAGCTGTTAGGCTTTCAGAATGCGCAGACATAATTGAACCATCATGTCATGCGTATCGTGGATATCATCTCTACTTGCTTAGGTTCTATCCGAAGGCAAAAAAGTGCATATGCAGCTTTCTATAGACATGCTCACTATATTCTAGTCTGAAGAAGATGCGGTATCATGAGCCAGGCCCCTCATGTCACAACGGCCTGGCTTGGGAGAAACACTGCTCGATCCGGTTTCATGCTCTCGGGCCTCAGGGCTGTGGGGTTTAGGGCGCAAGGAGTGTTTTAGGGTTTAGGAGAAACCCTAAACCCTAAACCCCTAAACCCCTAAACCCTAAACCCCTTAACCCCTAAACCCTAAACCCCTTAACCCCTAAACCCCTAAACCCCTAGATCCTAAACCTCTAAACCCCTAAACCCTAAACGTTTGAGATCAAGGCCGTAGGGCTAGGCTTTCAGGGCTTCCGAGTTGTGGGTTTCGGGTAGCATCTGCCGTTGCCCTGATGTCATTCCCAGAGGGTCCAAGTACTCCCTACTGTAGGACTTTATGGCCTTTTTTAGGTACCCTAAACCCTAAACCGTGGAGGTATCAAAACAAACATAAATAAGGACTACTTGGACCCTTAGTCTTAGGGTATGGGAGTAGGATCCCCGTAGGGCCTCAGGGTCCATGCACCTACATAGTACTTAAGAGTTTGGGGTCCTAGGGTCTTAGGGTTGAGGGCTCGGGGTTTAGGGTCTTACCCTGGGAATCAAAATAGCCCAAAGGCCTTGTTTTGTATGGTCTTTGGGCCCAGAAGCCTTAAAATATGGGTCCTTAGATCCCTCGGGTTAGGGTATTAGGGTCCATGTACCTATATATAGTACTCATTGGCACTACAGTCATTATATAGGAAACCACGAAGGCCAAAGCTAATACTGTGTAGGTACACAGACGCTGACGGTTCCGGCGATAATTGAAACGGCCAGAATGCATTCTGCAGCTGCTGCTGGCTAAATTGAGATAAAACTGTGCGAGTGCGCTACCAGAATTCCCTAAACCGCAGAAAAAAGTTTCTGAGTCGAACACCTCGAACTTTGCGAGAGTCTAACACCTCAAACTGTAAGGCACACCAACCTCGACTGTGACATTAACTTCATTGAACATGGTCTCAGGTGCGCGCCGTCATGTAGTGCAGGGAATGGATGGAAGACCATTAGGCTTTATACTGTTTTGGGGGCTTGGGGTTTGAGGGTGTCGGGGTGTACAGGTGTTAGGGTTTGGGCCTAGTGACTGTGAACCAAAGCCTTGTGTCTCTGGTTGCTGGCAGTGTAAGCCGTCTTCGAGGGCTCGTAATCCGAAAATGAGAAGTCTGAACGAGTGGTTTTCGCAGTCTCCTGTTGCTCCAGTTAGTATAAGGCCTGGGGATATACTACACTGAAGCTACGCAAGGAGTTTTAGGGAATGCACATAGCATGACGGAAGCGACAAGTCCAGGTCCTGAAGCCATCCAACAGTACCACATCAGAAGCACTCGACCCGAAACCCCAATTTCGGTGCCTTTATGAGTACAACAGGGCTTTGAGGCCTATTTTCTTTTTCTACTAAGGAACCCTCAAAATAGTATGGGTGACTATTTAGGCCCCTCTATAGAAGGCACTAAATCCGAAATCGTTAAACCCTGATGCCCAAAACCCAACAGCCCGAAGCCTTAGAGCAGAAACCGGAAAGTTGGAACCCTTCGGATGTTTATTGTAGTTGGGACACTCTATATGTATGGGTTTAGGGTTTAGGGTTTAGGGGTTTAGGGTTCTTACTTATGTGGAAGCAAGAAAGTTGAAACATCCTTCTCCTCATGCCCTTAAGTATAAGGGATCCTGGCACTAATCCTCCTGAACCCATGTTCCAACTTTCTGGGATTCGCTATAGAGGAACCTTGATCTCATGGGGACCCTCTCAGAAGGGTTCTCTGACAATTTTCCCCAAATTCTGCACCCTAAACCCAAGACTCTGAACCCTGAACCCTAAACCCTGAAGCCTAAAAACCCTGAACCCGAAACCCTAAAACCCCAAAAACTCTGCATGTTGCCGACAGCTCTCCTTCATCATGCTCACGGTCGGGCCACCCTGGGAGCGCAGTAAATACCCAGACCTTTCAATATCCTTTAAACTGTGCGGAATATACACTACATGTTAATAGGATCCCTCATGCGATGTACAGAGTACTCCAGAATGAGCGTGTAATAGGATCCCTCATATGATTCCAGGAGTATTCGAAGATGAGAGTACATGAGCAGATCTGGGTAGGTTAAGTACAGCCCCCCATGCGGCGACAGTCTGGAATAAGGGTACTATTTAGAGCTGGTATAGCTATAATATATGAACACTAAACCCTAGACTCGACCCAAAAAGAGGGTTTAGGGCACAGGAAAATTTTAGCGGATTTTAGCGTTTAGGCTTTAAGGGTAACCTAGACTGGAGCAGCCACATTGCCACAACGACACACTCAGGGCTCAGGGTTTAGGGATTATTAGAAAGTCTGGTGCTTACGGAACATAGAAGGCCGGGGGCTAAAGTAAAAACCCTTCTACACGGGCCTCAAGCGAATCTTTTGAATGAGGTTTTGGGGTATATCTGCGAAGAAAACTTTGATCAGGAACCCTAGGGAACCGTGTTGATAATTACTTCTCTAGGCTTGTACATACCTACATCACTCATCCCAACGTGCAGATCTGGCAGCCTTCGTCTTGACACCACCCGCAGCGCTGCGCTGAGAAGGCAAAGCCTGCATGGCTGGAACACTAAGCTCTGAGCCCTAAAACATAAACCCTAATAGCCCTAAAGGCCCGAAACCCTAGGCGAACCGTGTAGCAAAGACTGAACATAGGGTATATGGACGGCTACTTGGCGATGGGGGGAGCCTCAGTCCTCCTGAACTCATAGCCCTGAACAACTCTAAAGGGAACTCCAGAAAGTTGGAATATGGATTAATGGTAGGATCCCCTATAATCTACCTTAAAGGGGTTACGATAATGATATTCCAACTTTCTGGCTTCTACTGCAAACGCTTATCCACATGAACCCTGAGGCCCTTGGATCCAGTTCTCTTGAACCCTGCACCCGATTGTTTCTATCATTCCTACGACTGCAACTATTGCTACTATCAAGGCTTATCCTTCTACTGCGAATATAACTGCTGCTGCTACTACTCGAATATACTATGGTTAGTATTGCCCCGAAACCCCAAACCCGAATCTTAAACCTCAAAATGCCCTGAACCATGAACTGCATCGAAGTTGCTGAGTTCATAAGCCTCAATGATGTGAAAACTGTCAGCTAGCTCTGTAAGAGTTCATATCTTCTCATAAAGTGTACGCAAAGTGTAACCAGTCAGCTATTACACTAAGGCCTTGGTAGCAGCCGGCTCCTTCCGCACAGGCTCTGGCACCTAAGAAGCTGGAGGGTTTAGTATAGAAGTTTAATATCAGTTTCTTCAAGATTCTTTCGGAACTAAGGGGTAAGGGCATAGCGAATTCAGGAACTTAAGAAATTTAGGGTCTAGGGATAGTAAGGAAAGCACGTGGTTGGATATAAACACCTATTTACTATAGATCACTACCTTGGTAACTTGAACTCAATGCTCCGTGTAAGCAAGAACCCAGATAACCTCGGAAGGACCGGCTTGTGTCAGCGGCGGAGGCAAAACCAAGGATTTGTGCTACAGTAAGGGGTACGATGACAAATTCAACACAACAGACCTGCAGACAAGTGGCAGGCTCTAAATACCAAGGTAATTCACCAAACACGGGTCCACCGCACTGTGGGGTCGAGGTAAACTCCGAAAGAATCCATAGAGCCCTAGTGTGAACCTTAGGTCGTATGAAACTTAAGATCCCTAGCATAAATGAAGGAGCCCTTGCAGGAACCCTTAGTTCTAGGGCTTATGGTACTCCTTCCAGGGCTTCACGTTCGTACCGACAGCTCCTGAAACCAAAACGGTTACGGTTGAGGGTTCAGGGTTTGGGGTTTAGGATTTTTGGCTTGGGGTTTAAGGCCATTAACTTGCCCTCAAGGCTGAGCTGAAACCTGGACCTCGACCGCAAACCGCACACCTTGACCTAAACATTTAAAGCCTTGCAAACTGCAAAAGCTCTGCAAATGAAAGTGCTGTACCCACTTGATAAACGACTTTTGGCTTCAAAGGTTCAAGGCTTCAGGGCTTTTGATTAGGGTTTACGGCCTCTTGCTTAATTAAGCTTTAGGGATTGAGTTTTGGTGTCCGAGGTTAATGTGGTTTTGAAGTGCTCGTAGTATATGGGCAAACTATGCCCGAGGCGCAACGCTGGTGAAGAGTGAGGCTCCTATACCTGTCGCCCCAAACCCTAAACCCTAAACCCCAAACCGTGGGTTTAGGGTTTAGGGACATAGCCGAGTCAGAGCGCCTTGCAATAGAATGCATCCGCATGTAATCATTTGGAACCACGAGAACATACAGTATAGGAGCCAAAGGGCTTGAGAGGCTTCGTGCGACAGATGTGGGGACTACGGAACTTGAGGAACATCAAAGGACGAGCATCAAAGCTTCTATATTCCTCACCTAGACCAACCATTATTCAAATGAGACCGGGCACTGGCACAGTCGGCAATGGCTCAGCCTGGCTTGTGGCCTCACCAGGATCGACTTTACGGTTAGGGCTTACATTGAATAATTACCTGCACTACTTTAACTATTTTAAGGGTTTCCTATTATATATAAAAAATAGTAGAACGGGCCCCAAAACCCTATTCTGATTAAGAAAGGCCCCTGTCTTTAGGGGGTTTAGGGTTTGGGGGGTAGGGTTTAGATATCTCGCAATGTGATGGGATCCTATCATAAGCTGCTTTGGTGTCTTGCAGCGGGCTCATTGGGTCTTCCGGATCCAAGCTATCAGTTGCTAGGTCCAGCTGGTACTTAGGTTAAGGACTTTAGGTATAGGATTGTCAGGTGCCCGACACCCTACTTGGACCCTGATGGCTTGGGGTCAATCATCGCTTCAATCTAATACCCTTAACCCGACCTTTCCCCCAGACCCGAAACCTTAATCTAATACACACCCTAAGCTATAAACGCACCAATCAAAACACCATAAGCTGCATGTTCAACCGACAATCCCTAAACAACTCGTGGTTCCCAGCTGTGATTGTGGAGTTGGTGGTTTGTCAATAGAAGCTTTGTTTTACGGATCTCTGATACCAGTAGTTTCTAACATCTTTACAACAAAGCCCCACCGGTGGAGACCTCCTGGTGTAGGCGTGCTATAATCAGCTGTCATGGGGGAAATTTATGATGTGGAATAGGTCACCTTAGCCGCAAGGTAGAGTTCACACCAAAAGCATATCATGCGGGCACGGCCCTCATTACTAGCAAAAGTGCAATCAGCAACCACGAAGATCCGAGGACGCGTTGCGAAATGACCCAGCTCGGAGGGACACAAAAAATGGAGCACGAAGAGGTTGTAGCCATGCACATGTTCTCGCGCCTTTCGGCAACAAGTTTGCCAGGCCGTCTTTCTCTTGCAAAGGCCCTCAACATTCTCAAGCACCGCGAGCGCAGGCCTCTTGCATCGCACTGTTCGCAATACGGCATCTGCATCTTTGGCTGGAGGCTCTTGCCACTCCTTCGTCCCATGGTGCAGCATGCTGAGAAGAGTGCATGGAAACCCCGCTGCGTAGCAATCTAAACGCCCCCGAAGCAAATCTCTGTCGTGGTCTCTGGCGGTGATGTCCGAATAAATGTTCTGCGGACCGAAGGTTCCTGCGATCAACTCCCAGCTGTTCTTGCCCTTGCAGATGTCGGACGACCACGCGTGGCAGAATCGCACGCCGAGTTCCTGCGCAACACTGGAACATGCAAGTTTGGCTCAATCTAACGCATCCTCGGCCGGAGATGCTGCCACTGTTGCTCCGAGCATGCGCAGCAGCAGCAGTTGCCGGACCCGCCGGCTGCGGTCGCGGCTGCTGCCGTGGGTGAGGTTCCGCATGGCCGGGGTAGAGGCAATACTTGGAAGGGCAGGGGACTTAGTAAGTCGTTTATAAGTAGGGTTAGGGTTATAATTGGGGTAACTCCATTTGGGGTACTTATAACTCTACTCATAACCTACTTACTAAGTCCCCTGCCCCTCCAAGTAGTGGCAACTTGCGCATGAACGTCCACGAACGGCCGCTTACTACATGACCTCGGATCCTTCAACTACCCAAAGGGTCCAAAGTACGGTTATGGGTGGTACTTCCCCAAATCATAATAGTACTTCCTAAGATAGGAACCCTACATTCATTCTACCATAAACGCACTTTGGACCATACTTGACCCGACTGACAGCTTTTAGCCTTGGACTTTCATTTGTAAGCGGATCAATCAAACTCGCTGGTTTGCTGCTGGTCTGATGCCAACGCAACGTCCTTGTGGGTTTACACTTTAAGGTTTAGGGATTCTCGGTGCGAAAGAAACATTCTACCTTTAGGGTTTAAGGCTCCTTTAAATCAGAAGAAGCGCCCCGTCCCAGGATCTTTGGCTCAACCCCCACCCCCTAAACCCCTAAAGCCGAAACCCTTCACTCTTCACCCCGAGGCCCTACACTCTAAACCCTACACCCTAACCTCCAAACCCTGGTCCCCAAAAACCTTGAACACCCAGAATCCTAAACCCTGAACACGAAACCATGAAGCACCAACTAAAACCCTAAAACTGCAACTGTGATACTGCACCTACTACGCCGCAAGGCTCGGAGGCTAAACGAAAGCTTCACGGAAACCCACAGGAGCCTTAATAATCTCAATCGGGTTCCTTTAAAGGGATTCTATAAGGTATACTCTATACTGCAAGGGTTGGCAAAGGGGCTTAGTAGATAGGTCCTTAGTCAGGGCATACTACAGTATGCCGACACGAAGGATCCCCACGGAATGTCATAAGCAGCTTTTCCGGCTTACGGGTTGCGAAACCTAATTCCTAAAGCCTAGCGTCCTGAGGTCCTACCGTGCCCAAAGGCCCCCCAAAACAGAAAAGACCCACCTCGAGATCCCAGCGGAAGGCAATCTGACCAGGGCCCAGGATCGAGGCTTGAAAAAGTATTTGCCCTATTCAAGGTCTACCCATAGGCCCCATAGTAGTAGGTCCTTTTGGGATTACCATGGGGCCTCTGGGTAAGCTGCAAAGGGTTGAAGATTTCGAACTTCTTCCGTGAGTGAGATCTTTGGGGTTTCGGGTTTAAGGCGTGTCGGGCTTGAGATTTAGGATCTAAGTTATCAGGTCTTGGGCGCTGGTGACAATATGTTGTCTATATAGATACGGCAGTCATGCATACGGTAATTTTGGGACCCTGCATAACAGCCCATTTTAGAAAGAAGCCGGCCTAGTTTCAGGGTCCTTCGGGACTCTAGGAATCCCAAAGACATAGCAAAACCCTAAATCTTATGAAACGGTTTGCAGTTTTGACTAGGCTTCAGCGAGATAAAGGCTAGTGTGCTTTGTGGCAGTTGAACGGCTTTAGCCTGGAGCCAACGGATCTGCAGCTTTACGTAGGCTCATAGAGAGGTTTAAGAAGAGATGGCTTCGGGTTTTGCCTCAATAGACAGATAGCTCAATTGAGCTGACGGCTAGTTCGCTTAAGCGTGCATATATATATATATATATATATATACAGTGGTTAATCACGCTCGATGGTCAGCTGGAGCAACTAATAAGCTTACGTGCGGATATGCATATAGATGTATACAGATCCGGATAAGGTTTGAATTGCATGTATATTAATTACGCATAGCTGCACCAAAAGCAACAAACATAATTAATCAGTGGTTGTTCATGCTCGGGAATCGGAGCTTGAGCATGCTTGTGGGGTTCCTGACAGTTCGCGCAGACTGGGTCTATGGTGTGAAAACGGAGCATGTAAATCTGAAATCCTCGATCAGGGAAGACATGCCAGACATGCCCCAATACATCGAATCTGACATCTCAAGTGTAATATAGGGCCCTGAATAGTTGCCTATACTAGTTTGGGGGTTCCTGATTATAAAATTGGTAGAATGGGCCCCAAAACCCTAGCCCCTATAGTAGGCAACCCCGAACTCCAAATTCCGCCCTCGCCTCCCCCCTTCCGACAAAACTCTGACTCCCAAACCCCTAAAACCGTAAACCCTACTAGTAGATCCCTAAACCCTGGTTCCCAATTGTGACCATAAATCCCAAATGGGAGTTTCCGAAAATAGGGGACCCTATAATATAGCACCCCAAATATTAGGATCCTGAATATAAGGACCCCAAATAAGGTACCCCTAATTTTCGGAAACTCCCAAATCACTTGGCGCTGGCCTGGTCGCGGCCACCTGCAAGCAATGCAGGCGCCTCGGAGCTTACATCCCAGCCTCGGCAGCAGCACTTCGGGCGGGTTTAGGGTTTAGGGTTTACCTATAGTCTCCATTGTAGTTCCTTTTTGGGGTTACCTTATTATAAGATCCCAATTTTAAGATTGGTTAAACCAAAAAGGGAACTACAATGGAGACTATAGGTAGGGTTCAGGCTTTGGGGTTTAGGGTTCAGGATTTGGTGTTTTAGGGTTCAGGGTTTGGGGTTCGTTCAACGGTTCCTCACTAGGTTCCGCAAGATTTGGTAAGGGCTCCATAGCAAGGATTCTTGGCGCATAGGGTTACTGGCTTGGTAGTTGGGATTTGGGTTAAGGTTCTATTCTAGAGATTCACAGTCAGGATGGAGCTTGACTCCAGAAGCTACAACCCGGAGCCCCCAAGAACTCTGCTCCAAGCCGTATTCGACTGCGTCAAGGATAAGCAAGAAAACCTCACCGCAAAAGACCGTCAAGCTTAAACACCCAGACCCTAAAACCTCTCAACCCCTTGTGGAACAAACTTGTAAGACCTGTACAAGAACTTCACCGCCTTGTGTGGGCGGATTGGAGTGGGTCGTTGCAGACAGTGGCATTCACCGGCCCTGGAAAGGCCTTGAACCGCCGACGAACTGCACCCGGTTCACAAGGAAACGAAGTGCCTTGTCGTCTCCACGAGCTGGCGTCGCCCGCGGCACCAACTACTTATCCGGTGCGGCTGGGTCGCTGGTTCGTCTTCATCCTGCTGAATACCGAAGCCACCATCCTTCCGTCTATCATTATCATCGGCACCGCCAGCTTCGCAGGCGCACCGCGCTCGTCGCAGAGGCGTGCAATATTAGAAACGTCGCCCGATCAGACCGTAGGTGGTGGAGCACATCTACCACTTGAGGGCCATCCACTCTAAACCATAAGCGCCTGAAGTCCGTAAACAATCCAAACCCTAAGGGCCCACAACCCTAAACTAAACCAAAAAACGGATAAAGCCCTTGCCCTGCAGCATGCAGTTTGGCACCCAGAGCACAGCCCCACTGCATTTAAAGCGCTTGTGCCAGGCGTCCCCATTCCGAAAGTTTCGAGCTCCAGGTAGTACTGTCGAGCATACAGACTCTCACCGAGTAGCGGAGTGGTCTAAGCGTCTCGTCTGCCCTACGCAGGCTAGCAGAGTAATTATAGCAAATTAAAAATTACAATGCATTTAGTCGCAGAGGAGGCCCCAAGGCTCACTTGTGTCAGGAGTCTATGGGGAAGAGGGTGAGGGACTGAGTGGCGTAGGCTGTTCCAGCATGTTCAAGCTATGTGGGTCGAACTGTCGGCCCGGCGGTCAACCCTCAACCCAAATCCCGAATCCCCAAGGGCTCGAAACCCTAAACCCTAAAAGCCATATGTAAACCCTGACAGAACCCATTGAGGTCCCTTTCCAGGAACCCTCAAAGAAAAGGCCAAACCCTACCCGTATCCCCAAACCCTTCAAAACAGTAGGTTTTGACACCTGAATCACGGAGTATAGAGCTCAAAACACTAGGTCTTTGAATCCCAGGTACAACCCTCAGGGCCTCAAAGACTGAAGCCCTAGGTATCCCAGCGCGCTGAGGTTCGGGCATGCTGCAAGAATCGCGCCGGCCTACCGCGGCTGCAGAGCGAAGACAATCCCAAGAGTCCTATGTTAGTTATGGGGGGATATAAATGGGGAAATCACAATAGCAATTCCTATAGTAAAGCATGCTACGATCATAGGATTCTTTTCTGTTGGGGCTTAGGGTTTAGCGTTTCAGGTTTAAAGGGCCCTTGCCTTAACGGGTCTAGAAACTTAGGGCTCGCAGATTAAACTTAGGGAACCTACGGCTTGTTATCATATATTCTCCCAAATAGTAACCTACATAGCTAACATCTAATCCTATAAGTACCGAATACTTGGGTCCTTTGGACCTGCAAAACCTAGTATAGAATCCTCTCGACCCCTTACAGAACCCATTAAAGGAACCCTGATAAACCTTTAAAAGACACTAATTATCGGGTCCTTTAAAGGACCCTTACGGTGGGGTTTAAAGATTAGGATTCAAGGCTTCCGGGACAGCGCGAGTGAGGGAGGGAGAAACAAGCAGAATCCCAATTGTATCAGTATATCTGGCTAGCTAGACAGCCCTTACCTGTATCCCCAAACCCTACAAAACAGTAGGTTATAGGTATAACACCCATGAACAGTAGGTTTTTGGATCCCGCAGGTAAACCCTCAACCGTATGTATGTATGCATGTATGTTTGCGTAAGGGGCCTTTAAGGGGCCTTTGTGGAACCCTAAACCTGCCTGCCGAAGCGGTCCTGCCGTGGAAGTCGTCGCAACGAGCCTCAACCAACGGCTTGAGGATTTAAGATTATGAGGTTTGTGGTGTCGGGTTTAAGGCTTTACGGGGCCCAGGGTGTGGGTTGACACACCTTTTTGGCTTGCCTTTTTAGCTTAGGGTGTTTTAGGGTTGAGGGTTGAGCTTTCAGAGAACCCTGGACCTGCAGCCAAGGCTCACTAAAATCGTATGAGGCCCCAGTGAGCTCTGTGCTTGACCTCCGAGATGCGGACACTCCTTACATTGCGCGAATATAGGAGCCTTCATGAAAGTTGTGCAGCTAATACCTTTTCAAAAAACCCAACTCAGCTGTATGTGCGAATGTTCAATACTAACAAGGGGCCTTCAATGACAACCCCTCGTCTAAGGACAGCTATGAAACCAAGACCCCGACACCCTTCAGGCTCCCTCTCTGCGAAAGAAATCACTGTAGCATCCCTGTAAAAGAACTCTCCATCACCTGATTAGGGGGCATTCAAGACGTGATGGAAGCAACACTTGCGAAGGGACTCTTATTTGAGAAATGGCTTGAATCCGATCACACTGTTATGAGCCCTGAGGGTTGTGGGTTTAAGGGTGTAGGGTTTGTAAACTTTGTAGAGACTGTTGAACCCATGTAAACCTGTAAACTGAACTCTATGGACATCCTCTTGTTTGGCCCCATGTCTCTCCAGCTCTCCAGTGAACCCCCAGAAAGGACCTTACAACAGTATGGCGAAACCCAACCCACATACTTACGAAAGAACGAGATGGCAAACACAACAGCAACGGAAGAGAACACTGCAAATAATAAAACCTCTCACAGGCATTCGAAGCCCTAAGGAGCCTATACAAACCCTAAACCCTAAACCCTGAACCCTAAACCGTAAAGACCCTAAACCCTGAACCAAACCCCTCAACCCTGAACTCTTAACCCTGAAGGCCCTAAACTTTGAACCCTAAACCTTGAACCGTAAAAAGGTCCCAAGGCCTAACGAGCCTTGTCGGGGCTTTGATAATTAGAATAGGGTTTGGGGCTCCAGTATAATAAGTAGCCTCCACAATATTATTGGTGATTATTCAAGCCTCTACACTAAACCCCAATAATCGGCAGTAGTCCTTCTAGATCACCTTATGGTAATTATTATTAAGGCCCCTACAGTGCACTTCAAGGGGTCCCGGAGTAGTCGCTGGGCCCGTGGCTGGCCGGGTTTCTCTTCGTAGCGCCAAACCTTCAGAAGACCATCCTGGAGACATTGGGTCTACAAAGGGAAAAAGGACGGACCCTTTAAGGGTCCCTTAAAAGGGATCTATAGGGATTCTATAAGGGTATAGGGTTTAGGGTTTAGGGGTTTAGGGTTTAAAGGTTTGGGGGTTTAGGGGGTTTAGGGGAAAAGGAGGGACCCTTAATGTGGACCCCTACCCTATAATGGGCTATATACTGGGTATATAATCGCTATATAGTAAGGGTATATACCTAGGGGTCCTTATTAAGGGTCCCTCCTTTTACCCTTGGAGTCTAGAAGTTGACGGTTTAGGGGTTTGCCCTAAGGCTCCTATAGGGGGATCATGGGTTTGGGCTTTGGGGGCTAAGGTTTGGGATGTCACTACGAGGGTCCAAGAGCCTTAAGGTAGGGTTTAGGACTTAGGCTTCGGGGCTTTGGGTTTAGGGTTTGGGGTTTGGGGGGGGCTTCCTGGCAAACCTTCGGAGCTTAAGTTGAAACGTCTTGGGGTGTAAGGAGTTTAAGGGCTTTAAGGTTACGGGCTAAACAGGGGCCTTAGTAACTAATTAGAACAAGGTTCTGGGGGTATGTTGTACTACAATGGTTATCAGGAGCCTCAATATGGTGTTGACGTTCGTATTTACGCCCCTATGGTATTTGGCATTGCGTGTCTAGGGTCAGGGGAGTGATATCCCTAAGCTCCTGAAGCCTATACCCTTAACAGCACCAAAACTCCTAAAAAGCCCTCAACCCTTAACTTAGATCCCTCAACTCCAACAAAAACCCAAAAAGCCATACACCCTGAATTTAGATCCCTTATTATAGACCCTAAAGGAACCCCTAAACCCAACAAAAATCCTAAACTCAAACAGACCCTAAACGACTAAAACCTACACCCTGAACCCCAAAACCTTAAATACAAAACCGCACGCAACGCCCGTCCTGGCTGGCGGACATCAGCGTGGACCCGACGCCGCCTTCCAGTTAAGGGTTTAGGGCTTATAGGGTTCAGAGGGTTTTGGGTTTAGGGCTTGTAGGGGATTAGGGGTTTGGGGTTGAGGATATACCGGAAGGCCCTTATAGATCTAGCTTAAGGGCATAGTGGCACACGGCATAATAACTTATATGAGGATTTAGGGGCTGGTTAAGTTGCGTATGAGTCTGGGGCTTAGCTTGGCTTGGGGCTGGAGTTCAGGGGTTTTGTGCGTACTTGATGCTGTTGTCTGTGGAACATGGTCAGGGGCTTGGCCTGTGGTAACGACGGGGGCGCAGAATTCAAAACCCTAAACCCTAAACCCTCAGCAGGGAACCTTACCATGTAACTGCCCAAGGAGCTTCCATTTAGGGCTTTTCGGGTTTGGGATTTCAGCATTCCGTTAAGAGCTTAGGGTATCGGGTCCCAAGATCTGCCAAGATCCCTTGATTGAGGAATATGCCTCTACACCATCATCGGCTCCCTATGGTATGAGTTAAGGTATATTCCTTGATTTTGTAAGATCTGGGTAGCACAATAACGAACTCTCGGCTTGAAAATCAGGACTGCAATGCCCCAGTCCAAATCCTAATGGAGATTCCCATGCGTTGGAGTCTTCCAAAATGGCGGCCTTCCTAATTCAAATCTTGGGATATACAATACAAAATTTGCATTCCGAACGGAATAATATCTATCCTAACTTGGGTCACCCACCACACTTAGCACTTACAAGACACGTGAAAATGTGAGACACGGTGCTCTTAGGAATCTCAGACCCAACTTATCGAATCCGCGCATCCCAAACCATACGTAACCTAACCCTCAAAAGCCCACCTACCTACACAGTAAGTTATTGTGTCAGGGCCCATTTGGGCCCATTTAAGCCTCTGTGTGACCGTGGTATGGTAGCTAGCTCATTACGAAGGCGAGTGGGCCTCTATTATACAGGAGCTAAACCCTCAAACCTAGGTCGCGCATTTCGTGCCGGGCCTGAGCCGATAGAATGCTTCCATTCCACAGCGACAACAGCCTGGCAACGGGAAAACGCAAACTGTTCTGGGGTGCACCTGTGCTCGATATATCCCCTCCTCCTCCGCCTTCTCCTCCTGCTCTTCCTCGTCTCCTCCTCCTCCTCTTCTTCATCCCCATCAACACATCACCGTCAGCATAGCCATCATCTTCGTCTTCAGTACCCATTGTCGCGTTACCATTTTAATACATATTCTTCTTCAACTTCACACTAGCATATGCTGCAACAATGGCGCTTTGGCTGGTGCTGCTGGTGCTGGTGGTGGTGGTGGTGGTGGTGGTGGTGGTGGTGGTGGTGGTGGTGGTGGTGGTGGTGGTGGTGGTGGTGGTGGTGGTGGCGGTGGTGGTGGTGGACACAGCAGTGGTGGTGTGGTGGAGGTGGTGTGGCGGCGGTGGCAGTTGCGGTGGCAACGAGAAAAAGGATGATGATGCAGGTCAAATGATGCCGGGTTGTGTATACTGTTCAAGGTTGCTGATTGGAACAGGGGTTTGGTATGTTGGTGACGACGAGAGGACGGTGCAGGTGGCGATCATCATACCAATGCCGTGCAGTCGTGATGAATACTATAGTAAAACAGAAGTACTATGGTGATGATGATGATGATGATGATGCTGATCGCATTCTGGCTGTTGATGATGGTGACGCTAATATTGCTCCTGATGTAGTACGCATGCCTCTGCACCAAGGAAGAACACAAAAGCAATGATGGAACTAGGGAGGATCGCAGAAGATGAAGTCGTTGTGGCGAATGGCAAACATGCGCATGATGGTGGAGACAATGTTGACTATAAAGGTGACCGTGTGGCTTGCAATGATGATGACAAGGATGCCAGTAAGGGTGGCCACACAATCTGGGGCTGCATTGCTGCTGATGAACATGGTGTGCTCAGTACTAATATCCCCCCCTCTAACCCTGGATGGCAATTTCTGGCAGGGTTCAGCGATGTCGTTCCTGCATCCAGGACCGAGCGAGTGAAGCGAACTCACATCCGGTGTCTAGTTAGTCTAGTTATGTTGCGAGATGGAGGCCTAAACTGTCAACGCCGGGTGCTGGATTCGAACCAAGTCAGTAGTTCCCGAACCTAAGCCTACCTTTGGTTAGTAGGGAATGGTATAGTAATAGTAATTATAATTCTACCCCATTCCTCCATTCCCTACTGACCAAAGGTAAGTAAAGCCACGGTCCCCAGCTTTCAGTCAGAGCCAGCACCTTGTCCCCAAAGGACGGCTTACGGTTTAGGGCATAGGGTTTAGGAGTTTGGGTCTAGGGCCTAGGGGTTTAGGGTTTTGGGTTTTAGGGTTGAGAGTTTAGGGATTAGTTCCCCCCCGTCAACCCCACCCTCAAAAAAACAAGTACTGATGATCGGCCCTGCCTTTGTGTGTGGTCGAGTGCTGACCTGGACCAGTTCAGGTTCGGGCTCAGGAGTTAGAGCTTCTGAGTCTCGGGTTGGCCCAGGTTGGTTTTAGGGCTGCTTCTTTCAACGGATTGTTTCCACTTTAGGGTCCAGGGGCTTTGAGTTTAAGGACGTTGGGGTAAAGATTCTCGGTGTACGGCCTTTGCCGCCTGGGGCTGTCAACACCCGAACTCTGAAGCCTAAACCCTAAAGCCAGTGGGCGTAGCTGTCTTGCCAGGGAGGCTGCTGTGCTTGCTACATGCAGGGTTTAGGATCAAAGGAGCCCTTTAAACTTGAAAGCCAGTCAAAATGATACAAAAGCCTAACGATATGCAACCAATGCCGAACCAAAACCCTAAACCCTAAACCCTCAAGCTTTCAACTTTTCAGCCTCAAACCCTGAACTATAAGCCTAGACCCAAATGGCGTATCCTTAAGACACAGGCATACGAACACCCCTAAAGCAACCCTCGAACCCCAAAAAAACTAAGCTGCGAACCCGTCTAGATCCCTAACAGGAACCCTGAAGGGAAGGCATCCCAGCTCGACTAACTTCTGAACCCCTCCTTCAAGTTAAACTGTTAGCCTCCTTATTATACGGTTGATGATATAAGTCCTGCATAACCCATAATAAAGAACATACCGTAATTCCCATAGTCTAGCGTCATTAAGGTAATGCAGGATTTATATCGTCAACCATAGTTACTATAGAAACCCAAAAGGTGAAGTCCTAAGAGCCAACCAGAAGAACGCCAAGCTAGATCCTGAACCTTCGAAGCCCTGGAGGATCAAACGGGCTCAAACGAGCCAAGAAGGGACCCCCAAGGAGTAAACAAAACATGCTCAAAGATAGCAAGAAAGGGAGCAAACGTAAAAACCTCACAGGAACCCCAAAGAGCCAGGAAGGAACCCCAAAAGGAACCTAAGAACATGCCATAGTGCAAACTCAAAGATAGCAAGAAAGAGAGCAAACATGCAAAAGCCTTACAGGAACCCAAAACCCTAAACCTCTTTTAGAGCTCTTAACTTTAACGAACCCATAAAAGAAACCATGAACATTGTACAGGAACCCAAACTCCTAAAGGAACCCTGCAACCAATGAACTCCACGGCCCGCCTCTGGAAGCAGGGGCGCTGCAGTGGCTGAGTCGCCACCGCTGGCAGCCTCACAAAGAGGGCGCAACCCAGAAACGCCTATATCCCTTATTAAGGAATATACCGATATACCTTAAAAATAGTAGGATCCCTAACATGATTTAAGGGCCGGATTCTAGCAAAAAGAGACGTATCCAGATTTTCCAGTATCCCTTAACCAAGGAATACACCTTAAACTATAACAGGATCCCTGATCTGATTCAGGGTCTAGTCCTTAACTTGAGTATTATGACATTCTAGCAGATCTGGGTAGGTTGCCGTTTGGGTTTAGGGGTTAGGAAAAGGCTTGCTTTGGCAACACATATAGTGGCTTACACAGCTGCTTTCGTGAGTAGGTTTTTGTGCACTTGGCCTCAGTTGTCGAAAGCTTTCGGTGTTTTTGGCTTCCCGGTTGACGCATGGTTTAGGCTCTATATATGTAAGGTTTAGGGTTTGCAAGGGTTACGGAACCTGAATCTAGCAATTTAGGCCCCTGTGTTAACTTTTCTGGTGTTGCAAACACGTGCTCGTGAGAATAGCAATACAACTTCAGTCTGCGATGGCAGTCGGCATCACTACATTGATCATTGACACAATCCAGCACACCTACAGTTGCAGTTAAACCCTAACATACACACTTACACACACAGCCGGGTCTAAGCTTAATTAAGGTGACTGAGGATCATGTAGCACCACAAAGTGACTTCCTACAAACCCCATGCACTATGCCGTGCCGCCTTGACGAGGGACGCTGCGAGAGGCCAGGCAAGCTCAAAGACGGCAAGGCCTGTCTGGGCTAACCCTACTTTGAGGGTCAGGGGACTTTGTAAGTAGGTTATAAGTACAGTTATAAGCTAATGGAGTTACTCCGATTGTAACCCTACTTATAAACGACTTACTAAGTCCCCTGCCCCTCCAAGTAAACCCTAAACCCCAAACCCCAAAAACCCTAACTCTTCAACCCCGAAGCCCGAAATCGTAATACATAGTCTGAGTTGTCCTTTAAGCCCTTTGAAAATTATTTATTATTATGGTTCTCTACAAAATAGTAAGGGGAAATTAAAAAAAGACCCCAAAGGACAACCTGGTAGCTTCATAATCTATAGTAAACCCCAAAAAGTTGGAAATCTGATAAAGGACAAATAGTGCCGGGATTCCCTATACATTACTCTTAAGGACTGAAGCTATTGGGTTTCCAACTTTTGGGCTTCTACTATAGGGTGATACAAGATCCAGGATCCTAACCGCCAAACTTTTGGGGTCTTCGATGTTGGGCCATTTTGGGCCACGTGGAAGCGTGGGTCGAGTTGGGAGTTAAAGCGGATTTTGGAGTTTAGGGCTTTAGGGTTTATGGATCTACGGTTTTTTGGGGGGCGGTTCAGGGTTTTGGGCTTAGGGGTTTGAGGTTTTAGGGTTTAGATGGGTTCAGGGTTTTTCGGACTTCTTTGCCTTGGCAGTAAGGGTTTGTAGGCTTAGGGAAGTCGACAGGCACCTAACGAAAGCAATAAACCAAAGATCGGGTCTTTGCCGGTTAAAAATTTGTGGTCATGCCGCGGAGGGCGGGGGTTAAGCGGGATAAAGTACTACAGCAAAAATGGCTGCTGGACAAGAACACTTTTGATTCTGATTCCGAACCCTTCACTAGCAAGCGACGCGTCAACTGAACATCTCCGCCCTGGGATCACCATAAATCAAACGAGGGCTTAAAGGGCTTGGGGCCCAGGGTTTACAGCTTGGGGCTTAAAGGGCTTTGGGGTTTACGCATTGGCCTTTCAGGGTTTAGGGTTTGGGGATTAGCCTTTGCAGGTCCAGGGTTTAAAGTAAAAGCCAGAAAGTTGGAATATCATTATCCGAAAGCCTTTATGGTAAACTATAGGGTATCCTACCCTGAAACCATATTCCAACTTTCTGGAGTTCCCTTTAAAGTTATCCTGGAACCTCATGCCCCCAATCTAACCCTGGAAGCCTTCAGCCCCAAGTTTCAAGCTGAAAGCCTGCATTTTTTGGCAAACCCACATGAGAGTTTCCGAAAATCGGGAGTACCTTATTTGGGAGTCCTCTCAATAAGGATCCTACTATTTGGTTAGCGCGCTTTTTTTTTCACTGGTAGTTTGCGCTGCTTCAAGTTTTGTTTCACGTGGCAGGCGTGGGACTTTCGAGTATGAGCTAGTTTTGAGGCCTCAAAAAACTATTTCTTACAGAGGTCCAAATCTGTGCAACTTCAAGCGCCGAAGCAACAGAAGACTTGTGAATGTTCTCATGATTTACATGGATGCTCTGCGGGAATGGATGGGGTCTGATCTGGACGTTATCATGGTTGGCACATGGATGCTCTGCGGGCATGGATGGGGTCTGATCTGGATGCGCTGCGGGCAGGAAGCTGGATGCAGGATGCAAGCAGAGGAGAAAAAAAGAAAAATCACGCAACACACACGAGAAAACCATGCAAACAGGATGCAAGCACAGGAGAAAAAGCAGAAACATCACGCAAAACACACGATAAAACAGTGCAAAATGCCGCCTACCTGCAAAAAACCCACGCGATAATGCCCTCTATGTGCAAGAAACGGCGAAGAATGCCAGGGAAAATCAGGCGCAACGACCTACTATTTAGGGTACTATATTCGGGTCCCCTATTTCGGAAACTACGCCACATACTCGAACCTCAGGTACCTTGGCCCGAAGCGGCATCCTGTTTCACCAAACCCGATAACGCCAACGCCCGCATAGTCAGGCTGTATTATGGGTTTATCGGCTGAAAACAATAAGGCGGACGAGCGGCCACCCTTGCCGGTGCCACAGGCAAGCCTTCAAAATGTCTGGTTCAAGAGTTTGAATTTGTGGCTGAAGGGGTTCTTTCGAGACTTTTTCTCGCCTTAGCTTGCAATGTGATCCGAAAGGGAGCACCATACATACTGCCACTCTCCCTATCCCTAAACCGATGAGGGCTGGCCCTGAGTATAGCGTTACCTTACCTTTGGTTAGTAGGGAATGGAAGAATGGTAGTAATAGTACTTATAATTGTACCCCCTTCCTCCATTCTAACTAAGGGTAAGTTAGGCGCCTGGGAATGGTTCGCCGGGCGCCGAACTGCGGGTTCCCACTGCGAGAGGCGTGCTAGAAGTCAGGTCAGGACCTCAGCCAACCAAAACCTACTTTTCTAAGTAGGGTCCCTATGAAACCCATATGAGGGTTTATAATAAGATCCCACAAAAAAAGTAGGTTTTGGTATGTTAAGGGAACAGTTGGAGCGGGATCTTGGAGTAAGTATGTTAGAGTACAACTTTCGAACATAAATGGCATATCCTAAATCCAAAACCCTCTGAATACGAACCCTGAGTCCCTGAGTCCCAAACGTCCAAACTCCGAACCGTGGGCTACAGCTGAGTGATGCTCTTCTGCGCGCAGGACGAATGCCAAAGCAAGCATACGCCCAGATACTGCAAAACCCCAAACTCCCTACATCAAGCCGTATCGAGGGTCCATCTAAACAAAGTACATTCCTTGTGGCACACCCTGGAGGGTTTCCTCGCAGCCACTGACATGCTCCGAGTAGCCTCCCCAGCTCGGGCACAGCCAGCCGGATTCGAGAGGCATGATGTCTTTCAGCCATCCCAGCAGCCACACGTCCATGTGGGACGCCTGGTCTTTGGCCCAGGGCGTGCCACTGGAAGCAGCCAGCGCATCACCTTCGCAAGGGGGCAGCGCCTTTGCACAAGATCTCGGAGGGCTTGCCGGAAACATGTTCCTTGTAGCGGGCGGCAGCACCAACATCATTGAGGCCAGCGGCTTGTCTGTTGACTTTGCTGCCTGCATGGACCAAAAACCTGTCGCCCAATGTGACCCCCCGTGTGCATCTGCAGTGCACGCTGCACGTTCCCCAACCAGCTCCCGAGACCCTGATACCACGGACTTACAAAGTTTAAACCCCAAAATAAGTACTATTGGCATACCTGTCTTCGCTTGGAAGATACCACCCAGAGAATCCTGAAGAATTAAGAAATGAAAGTTTTTATCACCCAAAGCATGAATAATAAGCCTAAGGCCAAGACCTTAAGCCCTGAGGCCTAAAGCTGAACTCTAAGCCCTAAATCGTGAACCGCTAGGGCTTTTGTGCTTTTGTCCTGAACCCTGAGGCCTAAATGCTCAACTGTAAGCCTGAGCAATGATGCAACGTAGAAGCACAAAACCCAGAATAGGCCATACACCCTATGATACAGCCCATAATCGTCCATAAACCCTATGACACAGCGGAGAGTAGGCTGTAACCGTATGTTAGCTACAGTCCAGGATAAGTAATCCATAAACCCTATGATGCAGCCCAGAATAAGATTTAAACCCGATGACACAACCCCAGAATAATCCCGGAACCATATGATACAAACAGAGTAGGGCACAAGTTGTTGTACTTGTGCGGTTCAGGGTTGAGGGTTTGGGGTTGAGAGTTTGAGGTTTATAGGGTGTCGGACAGGGGGGGGGGGCCGGTGTCTTAGGCGGGGGATCGAGGCAGGTTTGAGTGGTTGAACTATTGCCTGTGAGGGCAGTACATAAACCAATCAGTGGAGACCTCATGCAATGAGTCCTAACCCCTAAACTCCTAACCCCTAAACTCGAAAATCGCAGGCCTGACTGCCGAGCTCTAAGGCACCATGTATGTGATTTGGGCCAGGAATTGTTGAGCACTTCTACCCTTTTGGCCAGGGGTTGGTACTAGGCCCGAAGCCCTGAACCACAACCCCAGACCCCACCATGTGAATCTTAGCCTCAACAAAACCACAAGCATGCTAAACTCTGAACCTTTAAGCTTCCAAAGCTTGCAGCGAGAGTCGGGAATTTCCGCTCCCTGAACCTTTTAGACCCTTAAAACCCAAAAGCCATAGGAAGGCAATGAAAAGGATCTTCCGACCTCCCACGCGACTCCCCCGAAGCCGTGGAGGGCAGAGACCTTTGTGCTCCAGCTTGGGGTACTACGAGGGCCTTAGAAATTGGAATAGGGATTTCAAGCTCCTTTTAGGGTTCCGTTAAGCAGCTAAGCGGGCTTGTTTAAGGGATAAATTTGGGGCTTTAGCAAACGGGCCTGAGCGCTGTGAATAGGAACCGACAGGAACAATGTTGACAATTACTCAGGCTTCTATATTGATCAGGGCTTTGGGTTCAGGGCCCAGTGTGTGCGTGTGTGGGTACCCGGCTAGTACAGACCCTAGCCCAGTATTTGGGGCTAGGGTCTGTACTGCTTCGGGCTAGTTAGAACAGACTTTTTAATGTCCACTAGAAGTTATTCAACCAAGACATGCTTACACTTAACGTAGGGATTATATGATGTCAAGATTCTCATGTAAATTCACATATTCGTTAATTCAGAAGCTAAGTAAAAAAAACAGTACCCCTGGAACAACAACTATCTGGCCTTCTTGAATTTATTTCTCTTAGCATGCAGATAGAGTGCCGCTTAGCTTCTTCATTGCATTCCGTATTCACCTCCGTGTACATGCACCCCACCCAAAATAGCCAGTTAAGAAGAAAAGATGACTGTGCAACCTGAAAACCCCAACCCCTCACACCTTGAACAGGGAACATGGTCGCTGAAGGAACTGTGATTCCAATTTCTTCGGCTCTTGCTGTTGGCGCGAACCCCCCCCCCCCCCAAAAAAAAAAAAAAAAACAATCTAAACCCAAACCCGAGACCCAAAACTCTAAACCTCGAACCTTCAACCCCAAACCCTGATGCACAATCGGAATCTGACGACCCTCGCCCCGCAAAACTCACGTTAAGCTTTACACTCTCAGTTCGCAGCCAGATGGACATGGCAGTAACGCCACCATCCAAGGAATCTGCCTTGTTCCGCAAAGGGTCCAAGTATCATTATGGTATATATGTATATGGGTGGGGTTGTCAACATTGGGGGTCCCTTTCTAGGTCCTTCATGTAGTACGGCACCTATTATTTAGGGTACCCAAAAAGGGACCTTACTTTTGACAACCACCCTACCATAATCATACTTGGAGCCTTTGGGTTCAGATTTTGAGGATGGCTTCGGGCTTACTACCCTGGCCCAGAACAGGTTAACCTTCAGTTGTGATAGGAATATACACAACCCATAAGGCTAACCTTCAATTATGATAGGAAACGCACAAACCAAAAGGCTAAAGGAGTTACCGATGCAGCTACTACGATGGTAGGACCAAAAGGTTGTTCTGTTGCGAGACTCATAAGGCAGGTGCCCTTTCGGCATCGCACTCTTATACACAAGCATGATGGTTGTTATTTTACTTTTGCTGATATATCCACATCCGATCAATAGAATCTTTGTTTATCGCTGTACAGCCTTGTCCTAGACGGGTGTCTTTGCATTTACGTTTTTCCGAGCCGTGGTTGCTGCAACCGTGGCCGTTGATTTCGTGGTGCTGCTGGTGGCGCTAGTGGTAGTAGTGATTGGTGACGGACGGCGGGGGCGGTGCTTCTGTCAGACCGGAAAATCAACATCAGCACTGTCGCTAAGATGTCAAGTGCATGTGCAGCTCCTCTGTTGCAGATGATGGCGATACTCCGAAGTGCGATGAAGAGCCAGAAAAAACAACATTAGCATGAGCACAACACTTATGACTAAGACAACACAGACTGGCAGTGTTTAGACAGCATTTTCCCATCGTTGACAACGTCATGGTCCACACCACGACAAACACCAATCATCACCGTAACAATCAACATCACCATCATCATCATCATCATCATCACCATAATCCTTGAGGGTTTAGGGTTGAGGGTCTTAGGGTTTACTGTGGGGTTGAAGAATTGAAGAGTTAGGGTTTGCGGAAACTGGAACTCAGTCAGTAATTCATCATATCTGCTACATTCTTCAACTTGGTCGGCACAGAACCCATACTTGAAGCCTCCTTCCCGAACAGGAACCAAGAACTTGAAAAGCAACCACACCCCAAAAGCAAATCCTACTACATCCTGTTACCCTATCCAAGCAGACGCCTGTCACAATTTGGCCCTGCTGGGATGCTTTTAACACCCCATGTCCTCTTTCCCTTGACATCAACAGCCCCACCTTCGGACCTGCATAAAGCCTATGGTTGAATTCTGGGCGAAGCCGCAGTCTGAACTCTCAAAGGGTTCAGTAGACAGTCCACATTCAGATTGCCTTACATCCCGTCGAGAAGGATGACTGCGGTGATGATAAAACTTCTGTGATGAGTTGCCTCATGGTTGCCTCTTCCACAGCGGTTGCACGAACCCTAGAAAGCTCTAAGCAACAAGCAACCCTTAGTAGAGCAAGCTGATACCTGAAATTGCAAAGTGCCCCACATATGAAAATGAGGAGTGCTTGAGAGTCTTGTAAGAGCACTACAAGAGTACCATAAGGGTACTATCAGTGTACTATTAGAGTACGATAAGGATACCATCAAGTCTTGGACCCTGGGGAAATGAAGCCTTTTCGTACCCGTTGGGATTGTGCTGTGGCCCGTGCAGTACAGGCACCGACACACTGGAGTTGGCCAGAGCCTCCGGTGTGCGACTCGGTGCTCAGCTGCTTCACCCCGTGGGTATCGGGATTAGTATAGGTTATGCCACCAAGTCATCATGGGCCCGTGTACCTATGTAGTATAAGTATAAAATAGAAAACAAGCATATTATATGGAAGTCATACATGAAGTGTTTCAGGGTAATTGGCCCTTGACGCTTACCCTGAGCTCCACACCCAAAACTAAACCCTGCAACCTACATCCCATGCTGGAAATCAAACGAATTCCAATCATTCGTACAATCCTACAACCCCATAAGGCCCGATGAGACCCGAAACAAGGGCAATCTTTTTTTGGAATCACAAACAGCGTAAACCAAATAAAGGATCGTCCTGCTTACTTGGTCGTTCGGGCATTCACCAGGCTAAACCCAACCCTACAACTCTAAGCCAACTAAACTCTATGAACCATGTCAGCCCTACACCCTGACGGGCCCTGACGCCCCAACCGCCGCCCCCTCCCACTCCCCGACCCGTAAGCCCCTGTAGATCCCCAACCCATAACCCTCCAGTCGACCCTTAAAGCCCCAGCAAGCACCAAACCCTACCTTAAACCCCGAATTACCTACCTACCATCTGTAGGGACTATATAAATCATATTCCGGAACCCTAAAAATAAAAGGTAGGTTCTTCAAGGTTAAGGTACACCCTAAACCCTAAACCCCGCCCCCTACTACAATCTTTAGGGACTATACAAGGAAATCATAATCAAGAACCCTCAGAAGGCAAGAGACACCCTAAACCCTAAAGCCTAAGCCCCAGCCCCAGGCAGCTTCCAGCCTCCTTCGGGAACTTGGAAGAGTTGGAGGCTGGTAGTCTCGACGCTGGTTTCTCCAGCCTCATAAGGAGTACTTGGAGGGGCAGGGGACTTACTGCTGAAGATATAAATCCTGCATTACCTTAGGGATGCTAGACTATGGGAATTATGGTGTATTCCTTATTATGGGTAATGCAGGGTTTATACCATCAACCTTAGTAAGTCGTTTATAAGTAGGGTTTTAATTGGGGTAACTGCATTTAAGGTACTTGCAACTCTACCTATAACCTACTTACTAAGTCCCCTGCCCCTCCAAGTAGTTCTCTAACTTAGTAACTAGGGTGCCGCCTGGGGGGTTCCGTAAATGGATCCATAAGAGTTTCTATAGGGTTTCGTTATAGAGTATTCCCCAGAATAATAACAGTACCTAAGACCCCTTATGTAACCTAGATCAATCTCCCTTGGGCAGCCCGTAAATACACGACCATCCTTGCGGCCGGAAGCCAAAACGCACTAAACCCTTAAGCCTAAGCACCAGACTCTTACCCTTAAAGGAACCTTCAAAGGAACCCCTAAGCCCTGAACTTAACACCCGGCCCGCAACCCCTAAACCTGAAACCCCTAGAACTCTAAACCCCTAGATGCTCGACTCTACCATCGCATGAAGCCCAAGTACCATCACATGAAGCCAAGTGCTGAAGGAGTTTGTCATTGTACTTTAGCACCACAGCACTTCCGAAAAAGGGCCTGTTGATCCTAAGTTTACGATGCTTCTTGGTTTACTTGGAGCCTTACGGAAAAGACCGTGCAGATTACTTCAGCCCTGAACCTACAGAAATAACAGGACCCCTTAACTATTCAGAAGGAAAAATGAAAAGCGCTGAAGCGCACTAAATTCTACGAGTCTGAACGCTTTGCATGCCTCAGACCACAAAACGAAACAGAATCTTCGAAACCCTGAATTTCTAAAAAAAAATCACCAATACATTCAGACCCTTTACGCAGAGGAAGGTTGCAGGGAACGCCCAGGCTCCTCAACCCTCAAGCCTAAACCCGAAACCCCGAAACTCTCACGCTCCAAACCCCTAAACCCTCTGGGCTTATGTGAGAAAGATCCCGTAAGGGAACCCTTACAGGAACCTGTGAGGGCCCCAAACCCTATAGTAAACCCTATAAAGTTGGAAACCGAATTAAGGCCAAATAGTGCTGGGATTCCCTATACATTACTCTTAAGGATTGAAGCTATTGGGTTTCCAATTTTTAGGCTTCTACTGTAAACCCTAAATGGACCCCTGCAGAGAGCCGGGAGTCACTGCCTTGTGAGTGCACGCCACCACGAGGATCTCGTCCCCTGACTTGGGAAGAGGGTCGTGTGAGGGTTCAGGGTTACAGGGTTTAGGGTTCGGGGTTTAGGGTTCTAGGGTTTGTGTTTGGCTGTCGGGCTTAGGGTTTGGGAGTTTAGGGCCTAGGCTCCTAGGATTTAAGGTTTTGGGCTTCGTTCTAGGGCCCTGAATAAATTGGTTAGGGTTCATAGAAGGTTCAGATTTCCGGGTGTAGGGTTTAGGGTTCAAGGCTTGCTTCTCACTACGCTACAGTATACCACCGAACCCCTACTGCAATTACTATCCACTATATTGCCTCCCTAAGGGTCCAAAGGACCCAATAATCAGGTACTTGGGTTTAGGATAATAATTATGTAGCTCAATATTTAAGAGAGTATATGATTATTATGTACTTGGACCCTTAGGGCCTGGGCAGCCCGAGAGCAAGAAGGCAGGCATTCCCATATTTTGCTTCGCATTGCACAGGTTCAAAGGGGAAAAGGAGGGACCCTTAATGGGGACCCCTACCCTATAATGGGCCATATAATGGGTATATAATAGCTATTATATTAACGGTATATACCGAGGGGTCCTTATTAAGGATCCCTCCTTTTAGCCTTGCACAGGTCGAGTCTATGACATGTCCTTGTCTATGAGGTAGAGCGCGTGCTTGGCGGCCTCCTGCACGCGAACCTGGCTGTTCTTGGAATCCCGTAAGAAATCATATGGGAGTTTCCCAAAATAGGGGACCCTAACATGGCACCCTAAGTAGTAGAATCCCTATTATAAGGACCCCAAAATAAGGTACCCAATTTTGACAACCACCCATATGTTTTGTTCCTTCCGAAGAAATCATATACCTGTGGATCCAAAAACCTACCGTTTTAAGGGTCAGATCCTCTAAATTAAGGGGTCATAACCTACTATTTCATAGGGTTTGGGGCTACAGGTACTCAAAACACGAACCTATACAGAACTTAGAACCCCAGCAAAAAATGTAGTTTTAGCTGTTTCTTAGGGATTATAATATCCAAAAATTAAAAAAAAAATATATATATATATATATATTTCTAAGCACCCCTAAGAGGTGTTCAACAGCGGCCGAGGAGCATCATCATCATAGCTCATCTCGCGCAGCTTCACGGCCATGGGGGCTGCTTTCTCACCCATCCGGCCGCAAGCCGTGACAGCTAGCCACTTTATAAACCTCAGGTTGAGGGTTTTGGGTGGGGTAATACTTGCTTAAGCCAAACAAACCCTTAAACTTCGGCAAACTATCCCCCACAAAGCATAAAGCTTAAGAGCTCTAGCAAGACACCAAGCGTGGTATCCCATTCTTGGTCTCACCACTTTGAGCACCGCAGAGGGTTCTTCTTTGCCAATCTCTCCCAAGGCAATGCTGGATGCCTTTAAGTAGCGGTCTTCTGGCGACGTGATATCCTCGGCTTCCCAGTAGCCCCCACGGTTTCGGGTTTGGGGTTTATCTTGTTTAAACTGGCTGTAGATTTGAACGTACCAGAAGACAAAGCGTTAACGGGCAACAGTTGGGGGTTTCCGAGAATAGGGGAGCCGAATGTAGTCCTTATTATAAGAACCCTAAATTAAGGTGCCCCTGATTTTCGGAAACTCCCATTTGGGTACCCAGCATCCTGACCCAACACATTGAACATCGCTGTCACGGAGGCCGCGGCCAGCCCTCCCATCTTACCGAGAGCCTCTGACTCCGCTGAGGCAACAAAACCCAAAACCCTAAACCCACAAACCCACAAAGTCTAAACCCTACGCCCGAAGCCCTAAACGTCTAAACTCCTACACCCTAAACCCTAAACCCCTAAACCTCTAAACCCCCAAACCCTGAACTCCTAAACCCCTAAACCCTAAGCCCTGAGCCTCTGCTGCGGCAATACGGACATCCTTTCCTTCCGTGTCGTCCAGCCGGTCGATGAGCTGAGGGATAGCCCTCGCAGCCTTCTTACCTGGGCGGTTTGGGGTTTAGGGCTTAGGGGGGCTTAGGGCTTAGGGGCTTAAGGATTTAGGGTTCTCGGGTAACCCACTGGGAACACACAGGTATGGAGATATGTATACGTACATGTTTTTGGATATTGGAATATGTATTACATACATATATATATATATATATGCACATACGTATGTCTAGTGTGTCATTGCAAAACCGAGTAACCCATCTTGCCGATTTCGTGGGCGGCGTCCAAGCGTGCCAAATTCTTAGGGGAATCAAGCAGAGCCATCCACTCTTCCAGATCTGGTCCTGCCAGATTGTACCCTGACAGTAGCAGCCCTCATAACTACCCTTACTCAAAACCCGCACAACTGCACTCAAAATCACCCTCGAAATACCCTTATCTTAATAGCACCAAAAGCAGTCGCCCTGCAATTTTGCAGACCTTGCAATTTAGTTGACCTTAACCTTCACCTTAACTTACACCCTATCGTACCCGTGGGAGGTCCCCGTACCCCTGTAGTACCCTTTAAAACGCCGTAGGCCCTAAACTCTACAGCCTTATAACTACCCTTAAGGAAGTCTTATAGCAATAATCACCCTTACAGCGCGCCTCTCCTATTTACCATTATAGCATCCTTGAACAAGTCCTGCAAATCCTGAACCCCAAACTCTAAACCCTAAGCTCCAAACCAACCCTGAACCCTAAACTCTAGACTCTAAGCCCTACGCTCTAAGCCCTGAATTCTTCTACTAGGTCTCGAGGATGTCCTGGTAGACCTTCGGCCGTCGCTGTGTCGGTTTGGAGCTCGGCAGCCGTCTCCACATTCTTGATACCCTCAACCTGGTTTCCGAAGCTTGGCTTCGAGGTTTCCTTGAAGAGTTCCCAGGTTGCCTTCCTTTAAGGCTCTATAAGGGCTTGATACTCTCACCCTGGTTTGCCAACCATCCCTTTAGGGTGTAGGGCTTTGAGGATCCCTTGTTGCCTTCAAGGCTTCCTATCCGGGATCCTTTGAGACCCTAGAAGGGCTTCATAAGGGACTTTATATGGGAGTTTCCGAAAATAGGGGACCCTAGTTTAGAACCCTAAATAGTAGGATCCTAATTATAAGGACCCCAAAATAAGGTACCCTAATTTTCGGAAACTCCCATATAAGCATCGATCTCTATACAGTGTAGGGTTGCTCTAAGGGTTCCTTCAGGGATTGCAGGGCCTGGGGTGAGGGTTCAAAACATCACCAACGAACCCTAAACTCTATACCCCTATAGGTACCTGAAAGGAACCCCTATAGGTACCCTGAAAGGAACCCTTAAACCCAAATGCACAACCCCAAACCCTAAACCGTCCCTTGGTTTTGCGACATCACTAGACCTGCGATCCGGCAATGCGGTATGCTGTGGCCACCCAAAAGGACCACAGGGACCTTAGATAGGGGTTTAGAAGGGTAGGGGTTTAGGTTTAGGTGTTCAATTCTAAGTTTATCTTGGCTGCTCTGTATCACATGGGGAAAAAGTTCATAGTTTGGGAGATCAGCGCAAATGACGACGACAACGACCACCACCACCATCACTAACAACACGGCGACTAACACGACCACGGCGAAGGCGATAACGATGACCAACAGGACCACAACAACCACGACCAGCCACAAACACCAACCTCCAACCATGAACCACAAGCTAAACACCATCACTACCATCACCACAACCACTGCGACGACGACTGTGACACTACTGCTTCCACTACGACGACTATTGCTCCTGCTGCTGCTCCTCCTCCCAGTCCCACTCCCACTCGGCGACTGCGACTGCGAGCAGTGCTGCTGCTACTGCTACTGCTGCTGCTTCTCCTACTGCTACTCCTAGTCCTACTCCTACTCCTGCTGCTGCTGCTGCTAATTACTAGTACCACGATGATTGCTACTACTGCGACGGCGACTGTGACTGTGACTACGGCGAAGACGAAGACTACGACGATCAAGGCGGCGGCGTCGGCGACAGCCACATAAAGGACGACGACGATCGCGGCTGCAACAACGACACCAGCAGCGACCAGCAACACCATGCAAGAAGTGCAACGTAAACAGACGGCGGTAATTGACGCCAAAGCCTCCAAAGCCTTTAACACCAGCACCATCTGCCATCCCTCTCGCCTGAACCCGATGTCAGCCGACACCGCATACTTCCTGAACAAACGCTAAGTGCTGGCTTGAGTCAATGCTACAGGGAACAGCAGCGCCATGATCTGGATTTGGCAAAGGACACACTCTGGGTATGCCACGATTACGGCTTGACTCTCGCTGCTGCGGTGCGATTGATGATTCAGGTTTAGGGTTTAGGCATTGCTGACACCCCCCCCCCCGAAGAACCTACCTTTTTAAGGACTTATACCAGGAATCATAACAGGGAAGCTTAGAAAGGTAGCTTATTCAGGGTGAAGGGAGTTCGGAAACATATGGGAGCCTCAAGGGCTGTCATAAGGAACCCGAATAAAGGCTAGGGTTTCGGGTTAAGGGTTTAGGGTTTCCTAGTGACTGCCCAATGCCCCAAACCAAGATTTCCAGATCGGCAAGATTCTTGGTAATCTTGACCCCCCTGGCCCACCAAGCTTACCAAGATTACCAAAGTTTTGGTTCATCTGGGCACCCTGCAAGACTATCAGGATTGCACAAAAACAACCTTGACTAGATTACCAAGAATAGGAGGAGTTATAAAACTGTTAGTGGATCTAAATTGCCGGCAAGTCGTCGTCGTCGTCGTCGTCGTGGTAGTAGTAGTAGTAGTAGTAGTAGTAGTAGTAGTAGTAGTAGTAGTAGTAGTAGTAGTAGTAGTAACAGCAGCAGTAGTTGAGTAGTAGCAGGAATAGTAGAAGCAGCAGCAGCGGCAGCAGCAGTAGCAGTAGCAGTAGCAGTAGCAGTAGCGGTAGCAGTAGCAGTAGCAGGAGCTGGAGCAGGAGCAGGAGCTGGAGCAGGAGCAGGAGCAGGAGCAGTAGCAGTAGCAGTAGCAAGAGCAGGAGCAGTTGCAGTAGCAGGAGCAGTTGCAGCTGCAGTAGCAGTAGCGGCAGTAGCG